ACCGGAAGGAATACCCTTCGAGCATGTGTATTTCTTTTTACGTTTTGTCTGCATTTGTGTGTGTGTGTGTGTTATTTCAGAAGGAAGAATATCCCTAAAGAGAAAAAAAGAGAGATAACGAATACATGGGTGTATGTGCGTGAGAAGCAAAAGGGTAGAAGGGAAAGAAAAATCAGGGATAAAGTTTAGAAAAGAAATGCGAGCTTCGTGGTTGTTGTGTATTCCCTTTTTTCTGGTTTTGTTTTGTTTTTATTTTATTTTTCCACCCTTTCTTTTTCCGTCTCTTTCTATATATTTTTTTTCTTTTTCTTTCTCGAAAACTTTTTCGCGCGTTTCTACACTAACATCGATAACAATGAGAAGACTTTGAAGTCCCAACTAGACAGCTCTAGCTTTCCTTCTGTTCGCATTTCAGTTCTTTATCAGAGGCGTTTGAAACGAAAGGGAGACTCGGAAAAAGCACGAGAACAAATGATCAAAGAGGAAGAGGAAGAGTGGGGGGTAGAGGAGGGAGGGGTAGGAGAAGTGGATAAGGTGAGAGGGAGAAAAAAAAGCTCTTGCTTTGCTCAAAGTACTTTGTTGCATTGAACTCTCTCGCTTGCCATTTAAATTTCTACCCCCAACGAGATTGAAGCTTACTCCTTTTTTTTCTTTCTTTCTTTACATATGGTTGTTTTCTTTTTTTTCTTTTTCAAATGTCCAAATTAAAGTCGAAAAGAATAAAATCTTATCGGATATATCAGAATCGAAAAATATCGAGTTTCAACGAATTGGGAATCATACAAATTTTCCAATTGTAATTTACATTAATACGAATTTTAGTTTTATTTGTTAGTTTTATTTATTTACATGTTCCTTAATATCGAATAACGAAGAGAAAAGCTCTCTTATAATATTTTATAATACATTATTATGTATGTACATTTTATTTATTTTTATGTATGTACGTATATATTTAGGCTTTCAAACTTATCGTCTTTGTTATTTTTTTTGTTTTAATAAGAAATAATAGAAACAATCGTAGAAAAATCTTAAATGTATGTATGTACGCGCGCGCGCAGAAAAACGAGAAAGTATTAGATACATTTATAAAACGAAAAAGTACCCTTGCTGTTTCTCGCTTTTTATTATTCTTTCACAAATTTTTTAATATTATTTCATACTTGTTTTTATACGTCAAATGTTTAACGATCTTACCACATTGGTTACTAAATGTTCTTCATATTCTTGTCCATATTTTTTTTTTCTTTTTTTTCTTTTATCCCTTTCTGTTTTTTAAATCGAGATTATAACTTTGTTTTACAACTTATCTTTATTTTAAGCGTACTTTGTGTCCCCTCGCTTTAGGTCGCAAGTCGCACGATAAAAAAATTCAGATACAGGACGAATTAGTTACGAGCGACTCTCGACTTTTAATAATCGATTAATAAACAAGCATATTTTTTCTTTTCTTTTTCCTTTTTTACATTTTTTTTTTCTTTTTTGTTCATTTAACGACCTTTCACAAACTACCATTCATCTCGAGAAGAGGTCATCGTTGAGAATGTTTCAAGGACGATAAATGGTGCATGGAATGATAAAATGGCGGATGACTAAAATTATCAGTAGATTCAACATCCGCGACAGTTCTCTCGGTTGTACATTCGATCATCCTTATCAACTTTCTCGTTATCTGTTTGAGGGACGGGTTTTCTTCTTATTTCGACCGCTTTCACCATTAATAATTCCGGAAATGGGAGATAGGATCACGTCCTTCTTCCTTTTTCCTTCTCTGAGAAATGTGTTTCCACGAGTTAACGCTTATCTTCGATTAAACGTTGAAAGAAATAGAAAGAAAGTAAGACAGAAAGAGAGAGAGGGAGAGAGGGAGATTTCATTCATATGAAATAATGAAAAAAAATCCTAACATTTTGAAGATGATCACAATCGCTTGCGCGTCATTCATTTTAGTATAAAATTTTGTAGTATAAACACGTTCGCAACGGGGCCTTAATTTAGTATCTCCGCCGTGGGACGGTGATTTCGTATTTTGTCCCGTCTGGCAGCACTGAACAAAATTCTATGACATGACAATAGTTAATGTACCACCGGTGTTACATGCCATCGCAAATGTGTTTAAATAATTAAAAAGTGTAATATCATGATTATATTGTGAAAGATTTAAAAATGAATTAAAAAATACAAATTAGATTTTAACGAGCGAGAAATAATAACAGTAACCAAACGTAACTTCGTAGTTACCGAAGTGTTAAGGATTTTTCAAAGTAGATTTGAAAGTGTGAAAACATTGTCTCTGACATTTCACACTCCTCGTTGATAATAGTTCAGATTCGTCGAAATTTCGTCGTGCGAAATTATTCTGCAAGTCGAGTACGGAAGTCGGTCACCGACCATGCGTTAATGGATGGAATAATTAATTTCGTTCTGCTTGGTGAAACGTCAGGATTATCGGTATTCCTACATACATGGATTGTACCACTCGCGGCATCGATTAATCTCAATTCGTGTGATACGAAAAGAGGGAAAGTGAAGGAAACAGAGCGAGAGAGGGAGACAAATTTTGACTGCGATTACCATAATTAAAATTGTCTTATTAATTGTTCTTTTGTCACGTAATTATCTTATTCTTTTGCAAACGATTAATCATCTGACAGAAATGTATTCTTCTCATAAATACATATACTACAATAAGACGTTAATCGGATGCAGTTGATCCTATGATCCGATAAGTCAGTATGCAGACTCGATTTGCACGTAATTACATACGATCTGCTGATCAGATAATAGATAAGAAGCCACAAAATTGATTTCTTGAAATTAATTCATGCATTATAACTTTTCCTCTCTTACTCATTTTACCTCCTTTTTGTGACGTTTTATAAAAAGAACCCAGTAACTACGTTAGATGTATTTTCTACGTGAAATATGACGTGAATGTTTTCTATTTCAAAGTGTTTAACAAAAAATTTATAAAAATAAGGATTAGTAATTAAACTTGAAACAAAAACCTCTGTCTGTAATAACAAAGAGAGGCTTTTTTACTTTCAAACAAAAGTTTTAACAATTACATACGTCGAAATAACTTTAAGATTTTCCTTTCATTTTTGGTCGGAATCCTATTCGTATGAATTCGAGAAATCATAGCAGCTTCGGAGATTGAAAGAAAAAGAAAAAAAGGGAGAAAGTAAGCTTAGGAAAATATTGGATGTTCTACCACGAAATATGTGAAATTCGAGAGAGAGAGAGAGAGAGAGAGAGAGAGAGAGAGAAGGACTGTGGGGTTCGTAAGTTGTCAGTTGTCACTTTTATTCGAGATCGTTGAAAAATGGAAACCTCT